AACTTTTAATGCTAGAAAAAAAAGTACATATTTCTACACCAAATAGCAATGTTTTTTAAAGTTCCCTGGAAAAGCACTAGGTTGGCTAAAGTGGTTTATGCCAAGTATTTGCTAAAAATCCGAACTCCATTCAGTTTACTATTAAAAGTTAAAAAAATCTAACTCTATTACATACTCCTGTTTACCCATGCACCCATTGTGTCAAAAATATGAAAGGTTCTATTAAGAAAAAGCAGCAACAATATGTTGAAGTGCCTTTCCGGCTAAAGCTGTGGTCATTCATGTAATATACAAATTAGTTAATATAGAAATTACAAAGTCCATTATGAATACCTCAGTAGTTAATATTCTTTAATTATGTAACCTGAATAAATGATGTTTGATAGAGAATTTTCTGCATATTAGGCTTACTATAATCAGAAGTAATGATAATGATATAGGCATTGGTATGCTGTATTTTTTGCTGATTGTAAAATTTAATATGAGCATTCCGCACTTAACTCAAAATTAATAAGGAAATGCATCTGATGGTAGACTTTTCATAAACTTGATATAATTGGATATCATGTGGTTTATAAGAAACAATTGAAACAATTGTTATAAGAAAAAATTTTTAGAAATCAATTAAACAGAAAAACATATATACTGTACAGTACCTATGTAAGCTTATGACTTAGACTAACAATTAAGATAGACGTAGTGAGTAGAACAATGAAGTGAAAACAAAAAAGGAATACCAAATTGTAAATTAGTAGCAGATCACAATGTTCACTAGCATGATAATATGTAGCATTTATAATTGCTGCAATAAAATTATGTAGTACAGTCTTGTTAAAAATAATCATATTAAAATGCATAAGCCAATCTTATAAAGAATACTAGATTTGTTTTTTGATACGTCTTTACCTTGCTACACTTTAACTTTACACACTCTGTCTATCTTATTATTTTTGTCTAAGGTTTACGAATGCTGAATACTAAAAAACCATAGCACCACTATACATAACCAGCCATGTAATTCTATAGTACCATGAAATTAAACAATGAATTTGGCACAACACGTATGAGATTATTATGTTAATTACAATGTAGCTGCTAAAGATTACCTTGAGTGGAAAACTAAAGCATTTAAATAAACCTTAGCAATAAATTTCATGTCAATTCTTTAACTAAAAGTATAGAAAGTCAGAACACAAATTATTTATATGTTTATAATATTATTATTTCTTGCTACACATAGTCTCAACAACACAATCCTCAATAGTCTATTTTGACTTAACTCAATTTAACCCGTAAACATACTGTTTTCATATCTTATACCTTTAAACAAGCAATTCTTGTATATACATATATATATATATAATCGGAATCTCGGAAACGGCTCCAACGATTTTCATAAAATTTTGTGTGCTTGTGGGAGTCTCGGGGGCAATAAATCGATCTAGCTAGGATTTATTTTTAGAAAATGTCTTTTCGTCCATGTTTTTAGGCAATGAAAAACTACTACAATATCGTTAGAATAAGAAGGTAAATTTTGACAATTTATTAATGATTACAAATAGCTTAATTGGTATATTGGGCAGTCACAAAATCGTAATACCATGGTTCGAGCCCAGACCGACTGACCGACTTTTTTAAAATTTTTTTCAAGTTCCTTTCTTTTTTGAGAAAATCTATTTTCTCGAGCCCTTTTTTTAGTATTTTTTAAAAACAAGAAAATTTAAATTAAACTAATTGCACTCATGATTTTTTATTCAAATAACCAGTTCAGTTTTTTCTGTTACGTCACTCTGATCCAAAAATATTATTCGTAATTCATCAGTATGTAATTTGTATCTAAATATAATTTCCAAAACACACGAATTAAAAAAAACCGAGCGAAAAATACCGAGCAAAGCTCGGTCAACCGGATACTTACCAATATAGGAGAATCATACCTAGATTGCATTATTCACATTTCTCAATAAATTATTATTATATTTGAAGTTTTAACAATATCCACTCGAATGTCGGGGTCATTTTGGCCAATATGGCGCATCTGTCGAGCACTTTCCGGAGTACTATGTAAGTATATAACAAGTATACTAAGTATATAATATATATACTAAGTAAGTATATTAAAATCATATATCAATGGATACGTTATTAAATAAGTTATCAGATTATGCATAACAGATATATATGTTATATATATCATATACATGTTACAAATAGTTCGCTATCACTCGACGCCATATTATGGCATTTGACAGATGCGCATATTATTTGAGATGCCAGAATATGGCGTTTGGACAGCCGAGGTGATATAGAAGATATTAACATTCAGTACAAAACATTAGTCTAACAATCTCATAAGTTTGAAAATGTGAAACTATTCACTTATACTTACCTATCTAACATTGGAGATCCCAAACCAGAATAAAATGATTGAAAAATCCATTTGTTGTTGATGTGAATTTATCTTTTATGCATAACTTTCATAAAAGTTAAAAAAATCTACTGAAGGGCTCATCTTCTAATCAATACGAGTATGCCAGATGTAATTTACCCAAAATTTATAAAGTGAATAGAATTGCTCATTATGAAAGTGCTTTTGTATACTTACATCGTCAATCAAGCCCTTTCAAAACCCCACAGCCCCCCCCTCTCAAAACACCACACAAAAAAAAAAAAAAAAAAAAAAAAAAAAAATATGTCTGCCAAAAATGGTAATTATCACAAAATTTTCTAAATAAAAAAAAAACACTCAACAGTAGACAACATATACGGGGCAAATGATGAAGATAACTGAAGCAGGCGTAGTTAAAACAGTAATTCCAACTGAGTTCAGATGGAACTAATTAAGGTGAGTAATAATATAATTATAATACAATAATAAAAATCACACAACAAAAAATACAACACACACAACAAATGTTGAATATTATGTACTTTATAGAATGGCAAATGTCATATTATTTATAAAAAAGTCACTCATCAATATGTAAGTAATCTAAAGACAAATAATTAAAATCTAATAACCACAACCCTTTTCCCAATCTCCATTTCTAATATAAACTCACTTTTTATAAAAATAGTTGCTCAGTGTCCAGCTCCAATATAGCACTACCAAGTGCCTAAAGGTTTTGCAAAAGAACTGTCAATAGATTCACTAGAGAAAAAAAATTAAAGATTAGGCTTTAAAATATTTAAAAAAAAACATACCACCATATTAAAATAGAGTGAATGATTCATGCTATAAGTAATAAAAAAGTTAATAAATTGAACTTTTCTTTTAGTTGTTATCTAAATTTCCAAACTTTGCTATCAACTTAATACACCTAATAATTAAGGTTAATTACTTTCAGTGAATTAAGACATCATCGAAAATAGTTATCATAACATTTAAATGAAAAGTATGCAAAACTAAAACAAAAATGTGAAGAGACATCAGAGGATAATGTTTATGATTTTGAAGAAGTTGCAATAATTCTTTCCTCTGTACTAAGCTGAAGCAATTTCCATACCTTAGTAAAAAATAAATAAATATAATACTTAAAACGATGATTATGAATAACAGGTTTTAGAAATAATGTTTATGATTTTGAAGAAGTTGCAATACCAAACTTTCCTTCACTAAGCTGTGCTAATAATTTCCATACCTTAGTGAAATTTGGGCACCAGTTATTAGAGTGACCGTCGCGACTGCCTGGATGCGCGCAATAGTAATTATTTCCAACTGTACTGGCTGACCAAACCGACATACCTAAACAAATTGCACGACAGGCCTTCAAGTTGTAGTTACGAGGTCACTTAAATGTTAATATTAAAGAATTAAACAATTTTTTGTTTAACAGATTGCTTAGTTTTTTAAGTATAAATAAACAAAGCGACTAATGAATATGTAGTGCGGATGTTTAATTAAAAACACATTAAAACGAAATTAGTAATTTTTTTTTTGACAACTGACAATTGTCTAAGTAGAGTTTAGGAGTGAGGCTTATTTATCGTATCAGGAAGAAACAGCGGGTTTTGAAATAACTGGAAGTGTTGTATCGAAACAAACCGAAATAAGTGTTCCTATTCTACAAGCGACTAATGTTCAAATTAGGGATGTTCGATGATCATCGATGTTCGATGATCATCGATGTTAGAAATTAAAACATCGATGTTTTAACATCGATGTTGCCACATGCTAAACATCGTAACATCGATGATACAACATCTCAAACATCGAAACATCGATGTCAATGAGCCAATAATTGATTAATAAAAACTTGTGAACAATGCGAACCCGCGAAATCAATATCAACTAAATATTTCATCTCCTATTTAAGGTTTAAAATTTTAAATAATTTAGGATTCTTAAAGGCATCAATCACCTGAAAAATATCATTATGTTGTGTCAAACTCCCTCTCAAGTGTGAACCGTAATGTCACTGCTTTCGCTTTGTTATTCTGTGGTATCATTGTCACCTAATAACTATTCTACATAAATTGATATAAAAATAATGTTTTTTCTCTTGCTGTCTATACACACATAATTTTGAAACAGTATAAATATACACAATCCAATTATATTTAGCTGTTTTTTGAGTAAATTATTAATTAGGTCTCATAGTAAATTTTTTCGTAGATTTTTGGTTGTATAGGAACATTTGAAGATCAAAATAATAACATTAATCATTATCGGCAAAAAATATAACAAATGAACTAAACATATGTTAAGTTTTGCCCATTTTTTAAATTACTATTTAGAACTAAATGTTTTATAAATTTCTTTAATAATAAACTATAAACTACACTATAATTTTTTTTTGTTTATCTAATTATAACCTACTAATTAGGTAGGTAGTAGGTACATGTGCAATAACATCGATAATGGCCAAGACGAGCTGAAGCATAGAATCGCTGCTTGGGGAAAGCAGATTCGGCGATATACCGAGAGGTCGACACGGTTTAACCAGAATCGTCTCTTTCAGAGTGATCAGAAGAGGCTCTATAAATCGTTGAAGCGACCAATGGTAAGTGGAACGGGCCCAGCACTGAATCAGGCTGACACTGTAGCATTCTGGCGCGGCCTGTGGTCAGAGCCCATAAACCACAGCGAGGGCCCTTGGACGGAAGTTGTGGCGAGTCAGTGTGCGAGTATAACGCCCATGGACCCCGTCTTTATAACGCCGGATGACGTAGCTGAGGCGGTCCGTAGGGACCCGAACTGGAAAAGTCCGGGACTCGACGGGCTGCATCACTACTGGCTGAAGGGGTTTGTGGTGTGTCACACTGTGCTCGCCCGACAGTTCCAAAAGGCTCTCAACCAGAAGTCGCTCCCGAGCCTCTTCACTACTGGGATCACGCATTTGGTTCCTAAAGACCAGGTTACCACAGACCCGAGCAAATACCGCCCCATCACGTGTCTGCCGACCATATACAAGACACTAACATCCATTTTGAGCGCGAGAATCACTCGTCACCTGGAATCAAATCAGGTGATGTCGCGCGCTCAAAATGGATGTCGGGGCGGCGGTTGTGGAACCAAGGAACCACTCCTCATTGACGCGGTCATTGGCAAAGTGGTGAAACGCAACCGTCGGAACTTCTCGGCCGCCTGGATAGACTACAGAAAGGCATTTGACTCGGTGCCCCATACATGGCTAAAGAGGGTCCTCGAGCTGTACAAGATTGACTGTACAGTTCGAGACTTCCTCTAACAATGTATGAGGCAGTGGAGTACGATCCTCTGTCATCTAGGCGAGCGGATGACGGCTGCGGAAAGCCGCATAAGGATAAGAAGGGTTATATTCCAGGGCGACTGTCTGAGTCCAATCTGGTTCTGCCTCTCTTTGAACCCTCTCAGTACTTTACTGGAGGGTTCCGGGAGGGGATTTCAGCTTCGGAGAGGAGGTACAAAAGTGACCCACCTTTTCTATATGGATGACCTCAAATTATTCGCCTCCAGTCGCTCCCATCTTATGGAATTGCTAAACATCACTTGTGAATTTAGCAATTCTATTGGAATGGAGCTGGGGACGGATAAGTGTGCGGTCCTCCTTGTTGAGAGGGGTAGGGTTGCTAACTCTGAGGGCATAGACTTATCTATGCCTGTCAACTTAAGGACCCTTTCCGAGGCTGAAACGCATCTGCATTGTTTTAAATCTAGGATAAATGTAGATATCTATGAGCCACAGCATCCATTTACCATCAGGTAGACTGTGTGCTCGTTTGGCACCATTATTCTATAAAAAAACTGACGATTACGAAGCTTGAAGTTTCTGAAGGTTGCATTGTTGCGTGTTCAAATCACGTCAGTTAGTCACCAGTTTGGCGGTGAAAGGAAAAGGGGAGATCTCCCGCTGGGCAAGGTGTTCTGCCCGGGGAGCGGCCAACGCTCCGTGTGGTGGTTCAGAGCTATTCTATATATACTGTTTTTACTTTGGAAATTTGATAGCGCAATTTATGGTCGATGTGCTTTGCTTGTAGCGCGACGATAGCACCGCCACAGGTGTCTGGAAATTTGCCTGATGCAGAACATGAAGTAATAATTGAACAGGAAGATAATAATGAAGAACTCTCCAATGAACATGATCTACCAACGACATCTTTTGTTCCAAACGTACCACACTCTCCTTTTTCATTGTCATGTGTTCTACCAACACCAACTATGAAAAATTTACCACCATCTCCTATTTCATGTTCTCTACCGACACACTCTCCTGAAAATGTTGTTACAAGCATTAAGAAGGAGAAAAATTCATAAGCTGTAACAGCTTATGATAAAACTATTATGGACTATTTCAGTGCTAAGAAAGCTAGCATGGAACAAAAATTTAGACACCGACCACTTTGACACAAATGCCCGCAAGCACTCAGCAGCTAGAAAACGATTTCGCCGAATATTCGGGTGAACATTATTCGGCAGGATCACCTCGGTACCTTACCAATTTATGTCCAAACTTGTTACCATAAAGCGCGCAGGATTAGCGCCGGACCCTGCCCCTCGCTACCCCGCTACACCTGACATGTTATTGCATCATCTAGTACTGCGCCAATTGTCGGCACATGCTTTTTTATGTTTTGTCTATTTTTGTGAGAAAAAAAGTATTTCGTTGTGTTATTTTTAGTGAAAATTGATAATTATATGATAAAAATGGCAGGCGATATCAGGAGCCAGGTGACAGGCGATCTACTGAGGTGCGTGAGGATAATTTGGTCACCTTAAGCTTTGCAACCCTATAAAACCAAAACTAAGAGGAGGACAAAGACAAAAACAAAAAGTCGCATACTATAACTAATATATTAAGAAAAAAACAAACATACTTTGGCAATTTAACTGGGAACACTTCGAAAAATCAACTAAAAACTAACTATACTGCACCGTACTAAAATCTACTAAAATATTGAATATAATATAATCTGTTGAAATGGCTTCGATAAAGCAGCGCCCTTTTGACCTTTTATTATTTCATGGACTGATGAAAATCTATTGTATCACAAAGCCCTCTATGCAAATAAGGCTGTAGATTTTGAGTTATAAGGAAATGATCATATTAATCGGACCACCATATTAGTATTACCCTCACGTAATATTTGGACTTATTTTAGAGAAACTGACGACCGAAGTAAAGTCAAATTTACTAATGTAATGTTATTACCTTTTAATTCAGCTTTTACCAAGCTTTCTGTTTGCTATAATCGGAAATAAATCCACATTGACTCAAAAACATTTAATGTTATACAAGTATATTTAAACCATAAATAATATAAACTTTCAACGGTAAAATTATGAAAAACATGGCATTACTCAGTTACTGTATTTCAATAAAGTGGACATTTGAGTACCACTTTAACGAATGTACAGTGACTTAGCCGAATATTCGACCGAATACGAATATTTGTTAAAGTTGCCGAATATGCCGAATACCGAATATGAAACGAATATTCGGCCCATCTCTATTAGGAATGAACCACTGCCGAGCACTTCGACGCAAGTACCCAAAAATAAAAAGCAACCAGAAGAATCGTCGATTGTAACGTATTATGAATCATTGGAAGATATAATGAGACAGAAACCACTTTAATTATAGCTTAATTACTGATTATAAATTTAATAAAATGTAAATAAAATTAATTGTCATATTTTCTTACCTCGGTGGTATGAGAATTCTCTCCTCTGCACGCACACGTTCTCGCATATTAGTATTTTTCTTACGAATAGAACTGCATTCTTCGCGTAGTTCGTATGTTGCAACCGACAATCTGCAGTTGATGTTGTTATCGATATAGGAGTGTATCCAAAATCTTCTGTTGTTTCTCCGTCGTCTACTGTATAGGACAAGTAACAAGTCCTTCCGTCAGTTTCGTGTAGCGTCGTGGACGAAGGGCCTTGGTTGTAAGATGTCAGATGAATTTTTGAATTTATAGATGAATTTATTAATTTTTTTGCTTGATATAAATAAGTATTACTTAAATCAATGAAAATTATTTCTACTAAGTCATAGACTAAATGAATTTGTTTATATAAATGCATTGAAGTAATATGTACTTAAGTACTAGAACAGCTATCTCAAACAAAAACCGAGAAAAACAAGGTATTATAAAAATACCTAAAATTCATTATTTATTATATCTTATTTAATATAATATTACATGATATTATATCAAAATTACATTTAAATGATATTTTTATCTGAATATTTTAAAATTTATCTAAGTCAAATATAAAAACATACTAAATGTATGTTTAACAAAACTTATTAACATAACAATTAAATTACAAATATATTTCCTTAAATTAGAATAAAAGTCGTTCATAAATGCTGGGCTATATATGGCTATAAATGGTTTGTATGTCAATAACAAAAATATTTTTATAGTTAAAAAACCAAAGCTATAAGCATTCACCAAATATAACTAATATAAAATTTTGTCATTCGCACTTTATACAAGTGAGGATAGAAAAGGACTTCGAAAATAACCCTTTAGTTTTACCAATAGTTATATCTGGTTATATCCACAAACTAATAAGAGTACAAAGTTATATCATATCAAAATCGCGTTTTAACGTTATAGAAAGCTCTATTATCTGTTTATAGCGCCAATTACGGTTCACAAGAGGAATAGTGATGGCATGAGTTATCTCTTTCGCACTCGCACTCTTCACTTTTGTAACGGTATTGCGACCGTACGGGAGTGTCCGAGAAAATCGGGTTTACGGCAAACGAGTATGATAAGCGAGTGACGAGTGACAAGTGGTGGAACTGCTTAGATTGTGGATAATGTAGGTCGGGTTTAAGAGTTTGTTTGGGTTTGATGTTAGAAACTAGTGAATTAGGACTGGTTGATTTGTTACACTAAAAGCAAAATATTGTAACAGTATTCTTGAATTGTGATCTGTGATTGAGTGGTTGCTGAATTTTTAAGTGCGTCGCAATGGCTGAGGCTGCGGGTGCCGCCAGCACCAACCCCAACGCGGAGATTGTTCGGGGCCAGGTCTTTGAAGTTGGCCCCAGATATACCAACTTGCAGTACATCGGAGAAGGAGCTTATGGCATGGTTGTGTAAGTGATAAACTAGTCAAAAAGTAAAGTAGGATATTCATTGTCGTTGTTGATGTTTTTTTTTTTGAAAGCGAAATTTTGGCACAGATGAACTCGCTTGAAATTAAGTTAATTAAATTGGACTTTCAAAGTATTTATAAAATATTAGATAGGTCTTAGATAGAAACGACGTGATAATACAAATATTATCACTATCTTTTATATAATTTCATATCTTACTATTATCTCTTTGATACTTGGGTATTGTTGATGTTATTAATTATGCAACCTTACTGTTTCCATGAAATTAACCTAATTAAATACTTTTTGACCTAAACGAATAAAACAACCACATTAAAAAAAAAGTTTTATGCCTTTTACTGTGTATATTTTATGTACACAGTATGTAACCTAAATATTTAATATAAAAAAAAAACTCAGACTAAACATGGACACCAAGTGATTTTAATCATGATCACTGCTTTAGGACTTATCATTTTTCTCTATATTGTTTATTCCTCTTGATCTTTAGGTATGTGATGTTGAAAATATTTAGAAAAATTCTTTGTTATGAACCTTTAGGAAAATTTTAATTACTACTTGTTATGGTTTCTGTAAACAAACATGCTAACAATGCAACAACTGGTATACATTAGGTGTATTATTTGTCCACATTTACTAAAGTGGGTATGCAGGTAGTTGTATATAGAGCCAATATCCTTGCAATGGTAATCCTGCTCCTCATCATGTGTAAGGAAAATTGTGACCATTATTTTTGGATACATTTTCTGCCATTGGTTGCTAGATAAGGTGTCAAACAAAAGAGTAAACCACACATACACATCACTAATGTAAAAAGGGTCATGCGGCTTCCTCAGGCTTGCCTGCATTTCTCAGATACTGCATTCATTCATCTTATAACCATGAAGAGCAAGTTGTATGTATTATCTTTTAAAAGGATATTATGTGCGAGGATAAATGTTAAATAACAAAAGTATTGTAGTGCAAAGATACATTTTCAATAATAAGAAAATATATCACACAACCTTATGAATAGGAGCTTACATTCCTTGCAAAAGTTTTTAATAGATACGAAGTCTTTTTAGTATATGTATACTTTTATATTTGATCTGTCTAATAATTTATGCTTTTATTAAGGCTTGTAACTATGCTTGAATATATTATCTAGCTTTAAGATGTCCAGGCGGTACTTAGACCTTACTAACATATTCCTCTGTTTTCTTCCTAGATTATGACATAAGAGCCAATTTTTTCAATATAAAATCTATATACACTATTGCCATGTTTCTATGTTTTATAAAAAAATAATTATATTAAACACTAGGAAACTTTCAAATCACTAAATTTTAGTTAGGAACTGTCAAAGAAGAAATGATAAATATGAGATGCTTGTATCTCCAAATCCTTTGAGGCCTTTCTTTAATTTGTCTTTTATGGCCCTTATGGGAAGAAATATTCTTTAAAATCACCACAAAATAACCATTTTTTGATACAAAGTTTGCAATTACAAGGCTCACAAAAATAATAATGATTTTCAAATGTGAAAGTTATTGTTGTCATAACTCATATGCGTCGTGATATAGGAGAAAGTTTGAATCATCAGAGATTTGGGATAAAGGGAACATATCATTTTTCTATAATATTGGATCCAACTATGTCTTGACTTAGCAGGTATTCTGACCATTGCTTCACACAGTTCATTCTCATTATCACATAACAACCCTGAAGATAACAGAAAATGGCCAACTTCCATCTGATAAAAATATCAGATGGTGTTATCTTTGACTTATTCATCACATATTATACATTCTTTCTCGCATAGTGGACGTTTTCCATGTAGTAGCAGTGGTGATGATTGAGATTATTTTGATATGTTGTAATGAATGAAAGAAACCTATTGACCATTTTATTGAATCATCAGTTCTTGAGGCGGTTATTTATTAAGATGCAGAAGGAGAATGCGTCACATAGTGTCATTTAGATGTTTTTCTCACTGAGAGCTGTACTGTAGAGCCCAAACTTGACTATATTATCTCTTAAATTCTAAAGTTTGATAATTTGGAACAAATCGGTTGCAATATTGGGAATCTCATTTATTGAATTTCTCATGAAATAGTTGGCCAAAAGTGGCCATGATTGGACTTAATATGATCAGGAGAGTTCAGGGGAACGGGTCTTGAGGGTTTAGCATAGATGACTCTACGATTGGTTACGCTATGGAAAACTAAATGTTGAATCAGATTACAATCCCATGACTTAGCATTGATTTTTTAAATTTTCTATAGCCTTAATGTTTGAAGATAGTCATCTTGGCTAACCTCGTTGTAAGGCTATTTATCATTTCTCTCTAAAGATATTCAAACTTTCAAGTGAGCGATCGCATTCGCAGTTACCGCAGTAACAGGCTAAGTACCCTCCGACAACAACGCCCAATTTTACGGGTAGCTAGTAGCTACCCTTAAAGCAACTACGTATCTGCTAAACTGTAGCACTGCTAGCTAGATGGGTTGCTTATTGTTAACTTAGTATTTAATGCGTTGGACGGTGTTGGTCCTGGATTTTTTAGGGGAGCTTTGTATAAATTGATTTATCTGTCATATTTAGGGTGAAAGAATTTTTCATAGTAATATATAGATGTATTATAATTATGTGAATATTACATGTTGAATAAAACTACTTTGACAGATTTTATCACATTTAATTTTACTTCAAAACTCCAAGATACAGTTTTTCCTACAAATGACAAACTTTAACTTGTGATGAAAGACAAATGACGCTCAACTTACTGCAAAAATATTTACATCAATTTAATATGAGTTTTTTAAGTTTAAAACAATATAGCATATATACATGGTAGAGCCATGCTGCAGTTGTATTAGTAGTTAGCATGAATGGGTCGGCTCTACCAGGGAAGGACCACACTCTCACAGAATACCAGCATAAAATAGTAGCTTAATGCTGCTGTGTTTCGTGTGGAAAACCAGAGACCCATTTTACTGGAAACAAGGCATTCCATCTTAGTCCTCATGGGTGACAACGCATCTGCATTTTGATTTGTAATCGAGGATAGATGTCTATGGGCCACAGCAACCACTTACTATCTGGTGGACATACAGTCCACCTCGTTGTCATCACACAATCGTTTGTCACACAATCCTATAAAAAAAATGGAATTCAAAATTCAACCATTTGGAGGCCATCAGGAGCGCAGAAGTTTCACCGTGCATTGTGTAAAAAAAGTAATCGCATTGCTGTGCTCTGCTCTGAAGGGTATAGAGAGCCAGTATAATTGCAGGCTGTGAGGCATTCCATCTTAGTCCTCAGTGTATGACAGTTACATGTTGCATGCTGTAGCCTTCTTTGTTTGAAGTTGGCTGGAGGTGGGTTGACCGTGTCATGGCGTTTAAGAATATCTACTACTCCATATCATTATGTGGGTGTTGTTAGAGGCGACAGAGGGAAACAAAACAGGAGTCTTAATAATGACTGAAAATAAAAAAAAACTGCAGTTGTCAACCCGCCAGCTGGTTGTTGCCAAGCGTGGCAACAATGGCAAATATTCCATATGAGGAAATCTATGTGAGAGGCTGATGTTCACCAGTGGACTTTAATAGACTGTCACGGTAATGGTACATGGACTGCAGTAGCCGCTTACCGGAACTGGACTGTGGAGTTGAAGACTGTAAGTGTGTTTGCCACTTTTGTTTTATGAAAAAAAAAAAACATTGAGGGTATGATTTGATGGCAGACGCAGAAATCGTCATGGGGGCCGTGGTAATGCTTTAAAGCACCCACAGCCGCTGAAATTAATAATAAGATCCGTAAAATTATAAACGATTAGCGTTCCGCCCCGGCTTCGCACGAGTGATTGCTGGATCTCGACAGCAGCGCCACGTACACCGGGTCCAATTGAGAATCTAAACCATGCAGGGATCCACTCAAACGCATACAAGATATTTCATCAAAATCGTTCGTGCCGTTTTCGAGTTTTAGCGAGACTAATGGGCAGCAAATGATTTTTTATATGGAACAGTGTTTGCGTAAAAATAAGAAAACATTTACTTATACTCTATTCCAATTACGAAGTCCCATTTGACAGATGTCAATAATCAAGTACTAGTAAAGTACCGCTATAGTCGATACTTGACGATATTGATCTTCGATTACCATAACGAACAAATTAATATCGAATTGACAGAAAAAGGATTAGCATCTAATTAAAATTAAAAAACAGTGTTATAAATTTTAATTAGATAATATTACATGATATTTTTATCAAGATGGAACATATTCATCATCACTAGCCGAAATCGATATTTCATGGTCGGCATCGTCGTCATCACCCTCATCATCGTCTGTAGAATCTCCTGTATTTATTATAATTTGGTTATCTATGACAGCATCGATATGTATGTCTCTGTCCCAATCAGCGAAAATCAAATTTTTTGTTCGTAAAACCACACTTTCCCAATTCGCGGCAGTAACACTATCACAAGCTTCTTGCAACAATGACAGCATTTTGTTTGCAGTAAACGGTGGGCTCGTATTTTTACGAGCCGCATAACCTAAAATAAAGGTTCGCGTGTTAATATAGCAACAGATAAAATGTTAAAGTAGGTAAAAATAAATTATAAAAAAGATTTGTTTAAATTCTTGCCTTTAATTTGCGCCCAAATCAATTCTATGGCATTGTATTGACAATGGTAGGGGGAAGGCGCATTACATTGTGTCCGGCTTCCTTAGCCATTTCGTCCAATACGTATTTTGGTCTAGCTGGTTTATTTATAGCAACCAAATGCATCAGCTCAACTTTTAACATGGACAAGTCAGCAACAATATTATTGTCATTCAGCCATTTCACAATATCGGCTTTTTTGCTGCTAGAAGTTGGAGGCTTACTTATTTGTACTGAATGATACGGTGCATTATCCATAATGATCGTCGATGGCTCATTCAAGTTGGTCAATAAGGTACAAAACCATTCCTTAAATTTAACAAAA